TGGATGAGAATGACATTGAGTAGATCCTAGAGTTGGTACCTGAGGAGCTGACTAATGAGAAGCTGTAGGAACTGGAATGATATGCACAGCAACTAGTAAAGAAGAGGCAAGAGAAAAGGAAACTGCAGGCAAAGAAGAAGAAGGAGAAGGAAAGGAGGAGAGGGCAAAGAAGAACTGTAAAGAAAATTCACAGTGAAGGACTTAGCAGACACTTTTGCAGACCTTAACAAGATCCTATGGACCCCAACACCAAAAGGTTTTCATTAATAGAAACGTTCATGGTGCATCATCTGTTTACAAGCGAATCCACGATGACAAAAAGAAATAAACCAAGCGAACCACCGTGGACACATTTCTTAAGGAGTGACACCTCCTCAAGAAGAGCCTCAGGCAGGTCCTTCAGGAACAGCTCCAGAGGAAGGCACTGCTGTCATAGCTGACAGCTCCCTGTGTGGTACTGCCCCGAACACCTCCCACTGGGACAGGGTGTGGAGGTGGGAGATGATCCTGGTCTTGTGCGGGCCTAGGCTATTGTGTGTGTTTGTGTCTTAATTTTTAACACAAAAGTTTAAAAAGTTAAAAAAAATTAAAGATAGAATAGGATCTAAAAATATTTTTGCACAGCTGTATATTTATTTTTAAGCTATTTGTTAATAAAAAAAGTAAAAAAGTTTTTTTTTTAAAAAAACTAAAGTTTCAAAGTAAAAATATTATGTTATTATTGAAAAAGAAAAATATTTTTTTATAAATTTATTGTAACCTAAGTGTACAGTGTTTATAAAGTCTACAGTAGTGTACAGTAATGTCCTAAGCTTTCACATTTACTCACCACTCACTCACTCACTGTCTCATCCAGAGCAACTTCTAGTCCTGCAAACTTTATTCATGATAAGTGCCCTATATAGGAATACCATTTTTATCTTTTGTTTTTATATTGTACCTTTTCTATGTTTAGATATGTTTCGATACACAAATATGTACTATTGTGTTACAATTGTCTACAGGGTCGGTATAGTAATATCCTGTACTAGCTTATAGCTTGGGAGCAATGGGCTATTCATTATAGCCTTGGTGTGTAGTAGGCAATATCATCTAGGCTTGTGTAAGTGCCCTCTATGATGTTCATGCATCGAAATTGCCTACTGACACATTTCTCTGAATGTATCTGTTCGTTAAGTGAAGCATAACAGTACTGAGAGTTGGACACCATTGTTAACAACATTCTTAAGTACCTGCAGTTTTTAGAATCACAGATGTTAATGGCTGGAAAAGTCCCAGAGAGGTTACCTGGTCTTGCCAAACCAAAGAAGTAATTGAGACACAGGTGTGATTTGCTCAAGGTCAGCAGTTAACGTGGGCCTGGGAATAGGTGTTTTGATTTCCTGCCCAATGCTCTTTCCCCGCATCCTACCACCCCTTTATTGGCTCAGGCTAATTTATTGCAGGTCCTGTTTCTACAGTCTTCTCTAATTGGTTTATGTTCACCTGACACTCTCTTTGGGGTAAGATTACATTTTCCCATATTACTTCCCTGTCTTCTCCTCTCTCCCCCAATGCTGAAGAGTTGCTGCTGCTGAGTCTCCAGCTGAAACCAGTTAAAAGGAACTTCCTGCCAAGTGACTTTTACCCAGGCAGCAGCTCTGAGGGGCTGGGCATGAAGGAGAGTCTTGGTTGTGTGTTTTTTTTGTTTGTTTGTTTGTTTGTTTTTTGAGATGTGTTACACATCAGCCTTGAGCTAATTTGGTCAGGCTCAATCCTGTGCACAAGTCACCCTGTAAACACTCAGTCACAAAGTGTCACACTTAGAGACCTAGAGTGTAATCCAGTGGTTCTCTAACTGAGCTCCAAGGAACCTTAGATTTCCTCAGGGGGTGCCTTCCATTCAACTTCTAAAAGCAGGTGGGCTGAGGAGCTGAGCAGACCCAGGAGAGGGCCTTCATCCTCTCCCTGAGTGATGTTATTCAGTTGGGGGTTCTGTATAAGATTCCTTGTGAAGAAAGTTTTGATGCTATAAAATGTTTACACTAGGGATCCAGTCCAGCTCTCTCATTTTAAAGAAGGAGAAAATTAATGTTCAGAAGGAGCTGTAATCACTGTGCAAAGCTTCCCAACTAGTTAGTCAGCAGACTCTCCCCCATACCTGGCAGGGGTGGCCAGGCCTCTCGGAGAAGCTGTATTTTTGGCTTGGTCTCGAGGTTATTGGAACCAGCTCTCTAGTGACTGCTTATCAGGGAAAGGAAAGGGATAAAAATCAGTGCTCATTGAGTAACTATGCCATGGCAGACACTGAAAGAATAGACATTCACTCATTCAGAGCAGATTTATTGAGCACTTATTATATGTCAGCCACTCTGAACAGGTACTGCCCCTGTCTACCCCACAAATTCTTTCATTAAAACCTCACACCAACACAGCAGGAAAAGATGTAATGTAAGCATGTCAAACTCAAAGACTAATATGGACCAAATAAATGAGGCATGTGGCCCTCAGGCCACAAGTTTGACATGCTTGCGTGTAATGTGTTTCAGAGATGAATGCTCCAAGAGGGTAAGTGACTCATAGGGTAGCACAGCTGGTAAGTGGCAGAGCTACATCCGAACTGACATCTATTGAACTCTAAATCTGTGCCTTAATACACTGTTTTTTTGTTTGTTTGTTTTTTTAAATAAAGATTTAAAAAATATGTTTTATTGATTTTTAGAAAGAGAGGAAGGGAGAGGGAAAGAGAGAAACATTCATGTGAGAGAGAAACATCAATCAGTTGCCTCCCACAAGCAAACCCTACTGGGGATGGAACCCGAAACCTAGGTATGTACCCTGACCTGCTCTCGAAGTGGTCATGGGGTGATATTCAGCCAACTGAATGGTTTGATAGGAACTGTGTCATGGTCATGTGGTCATGTGGCCAGAGCTACCCTGGTTATTTTCTAAAGGCTCAGGAAGTCAGCAGCTGCCAGTTAGTTACATATGAGCCTTCCAAATATTTGAAACTCAGTCAAACACCTTGATTTTCTGCTATCTACTTGTAAAGTAGTAAATCTCCCTCCATGCCTTCATGCCGTGGAGTTCCCTAGTGGTCCTGATCTGTCTTCCAAGACAGACTCGCATGATTCACCCACAGGCAGCTCAGCCCGCCTCCTGCTCGCAGTGGAGAACATTGCTCATCCAGCTGCTTGGTGTCAGGCTGGGCCTTGGAGCAGCTGTCCCTCGGGGGATTTGGGCGAGTCTAAGCACTGTGCATGTGAGTATGAGTGATGGAGAGCTAACAGCCATGTGCTGGGGAGGGAGAAAGTGCCTGTCTGCACAATGGGCTAACCTTTGGTGGTACAAGAAGTTTCCAACTGTCCTTGTCTTTCAAAAGATAGCAAGTCTCCAGAGTGCCAGCAACTTCGGAAGATATTTCAGCCGGATTTGTTCAGCCATATTTAGGCTTCTCCCTGCTGGCCCTTCAGCCTCTAGTCATCTAAATATTCCTTCAGTGAGATCAGGAGTCATTTTGAACAAATTGGGATTAGGTGGGTGCCCAGAGGGGAGGGGATGAGGAAGAGAATGGGAATAGAGGTACAGGGTTTGTGCTGCCTCTACTGGGAGAAGTGACAGCTGCCATTCTTTGAACATTCATTTCAATCTTCGGACCTGGAATCTATTTACCCTGCTTTCAGAGGATGTTGTTAAGTTGGTGGGAGTGATGGTTTGATGGGAACTGTGTCATGGTCATGTGGTCTGAATATTAAGGCTTGTCCTTGAGGCTTGCTTTACAAGCTATAGAGGTAAACATAACTTAACTTAAATATTAAATCATGCATCTTTATGAAAATGTTTATACTTAAAAAAAACTTAAATAGTAAGCTGAAAAAATTATTTTAAGTAAGCACTAAAAATTATGAAGAAATTAAGACCACAGCATATTTTGGCATCATTCTCATTAATTTTTCACTAGTTAGTAACTTATGATTCTATTCTTTCTCACTGGAAAGAGGTAATTTTCTAAATTACCTCTTTAAAAAATATATATGTTTATATTTATATTGATTTCAGAGAGGAAGAAGGAGAGAGAAAGAAAGAGAGAGAGAGAAACATCAATGATGAGAGAGCATCATTGATCAGCTGCCTCCTGCATGCCCCACATTGGGGATTGAGTCTGAAACCCAGGCATGTACCCTGACGGGAAATTGAACCATGGCCTCCTGGTTCATAGGTCAATGCTCAACCACTGAGCCACACTGGGCAGGCCTAAATTATTTCTACAAAAGAATAAAGCACATTCTTCCCCCAAGCAGCTCAGCTCTATTTAAAAAATTTTATTTATCAACTTTTTAGCAAAGACACGTGACCTTCAACAAAATCCCTCTGGGCAGGAAAATCAATGCCAAAAGTGAGACCTGGGGGGGTCCATGGCCCTGGCCAGCAGAAGGTGGTTGGAACTGCTGTGGTTTGGCCAGCAGATACTCTCCTGTCCCCATCTCTTGTCACATCTGTGAACACACCCCTCCTCGCTCCCTGCCGCCAGGCCATGCTCTGGAACTCTGTGGACACATGCTGGACACTGGGGCAGGGACCAACGGGTCCTGATTTGTGAGTACCAGTGGCGGAGCAGAGGGGATGAACAGTGACAGCAACATTCTCCATTTCTGTGCTGTGCTCTGCCTGCCTGTTCTCCTTAGAGGGTGCTGAGTAGAATCTGGACCTGGATAAAGCAGGTTGTCCATCCCGAGAGACAGCTGCCACTTGGCAGTGCTGGCACGCTCTGCAGGGTCCTCCCCTGGCCTCGCTGTGGCAATGGCAGTGAAATAAGCCTGGGCCAGCGTAAACCCCCGGGACGGCTGTTGTTTAGGCCAGGGTACACGCGGCGGGTTTGTCTCTGTTTCTTTTTAAAAGGAGTCCATCTCTAATCCTCCGGTGCTGCTTTGGCTTCTCTGCCACGGACTTCTTTCTTTCCAGGAGAGCTCTTGGGCTGCGTTTCTCACCGCTCTTTGAAGACTTCAGAGATGAGGAATTGGTGCCGTTTACAGTGTTTGGTACCCAGCCAAGCTCCTGAGCCCTGGGAACAGCCTTATTTAGCGCTCGGAGATTTGGGTCAGAGGCTCCCCAGAAGCCGGTGCAGGGAGAGACATGAACAATCGCTGCCCAGCCAGCCGGCAGCCATAGGGACAGAAGGGGAAGACTCAGCTGGCAGCGGAGAGTCCCACCAAGTAGCCTTGGGCCCGCTTTCCGAGGAGGCTGTTTTCTTCCCAACTGCTCTGCATCTGCCTGGATGGCAGCCAGAGGCTGGGAGCAGCATGGCTGGTATGCTCTGGGTGAGGCTGGTGGCCATGGCAACAGGAGGGGAGTGACTGTCCCTGAGGGTGAGAACAGCCGGTAAGATTAGGATTAGGCGGGAGAGGCGGGGGAGGAGAGGTGAAGGTTGGACCTGCATGGAGAAAGGCCGTCTTATTGTGGACAAAGCCACAGGCAAAACAGCGGTGAAGGCCTGTCTCAGACTTGGATTGTGGCTCAGACTTAGACTCCTCCCCTCCAATAAGCAGGGAGCCTGCTAGACCTCGAGATCATCATTACCCCGGTGACTGTTCCCAGCAAACAGAGTAAACGAATGGAGAACCACCCACCTCCTGTGGGCTCACCCCAGGGAGATATTCCTGTGACAGACACTCTCCAACGACATGGTGCCCCATAAGAGAGGGCATGCTATCTCCTTCGGCCCATTCTTCAGTAAGTCTCCTTCTCACGCTGGTGTGAAGGGGAAGAGTGAAACCCACTCTGCCCAGCCATGTGGTGCATGTGCGAAGCCTGCGATCTGAGCTCTGGGCTCAGGTTCAAGGATGTGAGTTCTAATCCCAGCAATGCCATGCCCCTTCCCATGACCCTCTGTGCCTCGTTTTCTTCATTCATCAAAGGAAGGTGGCCAGGTACTCTACAGGGCCTCTCCTTTCTGACTTTCTGTACGTCTATAGACATAGGATAAAAAATTATAAGGCACTTTTATTGGTTCAGTCTTCTTCATTTTCTACTTTTATTTCCTGGAAGCCACCAGCTGGAGTTGAGGACAAGTTTTTTAAATGGACAGGTTTCTTTTTCTACCTTCGCCCCCTGCCTCCCTCCTCTTTTCCTTCCTTTCTTCCTAACTGTTGCAAGAGTCATCAAGCCTAACCTCTGGAAGGCAGTTTGTTAAGGTAGCAACTGTAAAAGCCATTTCTCTTTGGTCTGTCTTACCTCCTCACCTCTCAGGAGGTGAGCACATACTCCTTAAGGCCTGTCACCCCCCGCTGACTTTTCTTGTCCATATTCCACAGCAGGTCCCCATCAAAATCCCATCTGCTTTGCCCACACCTTCTTTTGTCCCCTCTGACCTCCACCCCGGCCCTGCCATTATAGCATTTGAAATTGTTCATCTGAGCAGTAATTCTCAACCCCAGCTCTTTAATGAAATCAGCCCAGAAATTAAAAATAAAACTAAAAACAAAACAAAAACAATGCCTGGAGGTTCTGATTCAATTGACCCTCATTGGTGTTTTTATCTCCCCTTCCTCTCCCCCTTCCCCCTCCCCCCATTAGTATTTTTAATGTTCGCCAAGTGATGTTATTGTGGAGTCACTCTGAAAGCTACTATTAAAAGGGGATAAGCCTGCTATTACTGGATGTCTCTCATTCTTAACGTACGACAGTGGAGGTTACTGTCTTGTGTTCTGTCTGATACGTTGCCCTGTTGGGGCATGCCCCTTAGATGTGAGATCATTACCCGAGGGAGGCGGCTAACTGTTCCCAGTGATCCCCACTGTCAATACCGGAGATCCCTGGTATTTACACCCTGTGTAATCCGCTCCCGTCAGCCTGAGCTGGACCTAGTGACTTGCTTCTAACTAATAGCACATGAAAAAAAAGTGATGGAATGTCATTTCCAAGGTTTGGTTACAAAAGACTGTGACTTCTGTCTTGCATGTCCTGTCAATCTCTCTCTACTGTGCCCTCTCCCCTTCCAGAGCTCGTGTGCCGAAGGAAGCGAGTTATTATGTTGTGATTAATGCTGTGGAGAGGACCACGTGACAGGCTTAATGTTACTGACCCGTCGCCAGCCTGGACTTGAGGCTGGCTGAGTTCCTAACAGGAGTGAGCTCCAGAGTGAAGTGCCCGCAGTGGAGCCTGTCTCCGCTGCTGACACTGCAGCCTGGCGAGAAGACCCTGTGTCAGAGTTTCCCAGCCATGCCATGCCCAGGATTCTAGCCCAGAGGACTTGTGAGATAATAAATGTTTGTTGTTTTAAATTAAGTGTGGGGGTCATTTGTCGCCACAGCTGTAGATAGCTAATACACCCTGAGAGTAAAAGGGGACCCATAGGCAGGGAGGTGTTACCAAGAGGGCCACGCCTTCTATCTATTTTTGAGGAGTGGAGTGTCTAAGGGCATTCTGGGGAGGATGTTACCCAGCTTGCTGAGGTTAGGAAGGCAGATGTTCAATAAGCAAAATCTCGCCCACTAGATCGGAGCTTCTTAATTATTGTAGGCACTCAGATCACCTGGGGCAATCTTGTTAAAATGCCAATTCTGATTCAGTTGGACTGGTTAGGGCCAGGAAAGCCTCAAGCTCCTAGGACCTAGGTGGGGACAAGGGGCTCTACTGCCCAGATTAGTGTGTCTTTCTATGGTTACTTCTTTTAAAAGTCTTTTTGTTCTAAGCCTGACTTAGTGCTGCTTTAGGAAGTCAAGAAGCAGCCTTTGTCTTGAGGACAGAGTTTAGAAGGAGGAGCAGTGCCCCCTGGAGGCCATATGGTGGCGACAGTGATGAGGCAGAGACCTCCAAAGTGAATCTGAGATTTAGGTTTGGTCACATCAAGTAAATTTTTACTTATATAAAAGGCTATGTAATTATTGGCAATGTCATAAAGTTCCAATAATTACAGGGTCAAAGCTGGCCCTGCTGAGAGGTCCTGCTCTCAGTGCCGGTCTCGGTGCCTCTGCTTTCCTGGGCAGATTGCTCAGCAGCGCTGCTCAAACTGCTCCTTTCAAGTTCTGCTACCACAGAGGAGCACGAACCGGGCGTGCAGCCCGTAGCAGCCAAGAGAAAAGCCTTTGAAGTCTTTTTGGAAAAAATCTTATGATTTCATGTGAATTGATGGAATGTGTTTATTATAATATAAAAATAATTTCCTCCCCAAATACATGTGTAAAGCACTGCCTCAGGAAGATGTGCTGGTCTAATCGGTGACCTGGGGATATGTCTCTCCCAGCTGAGCAGTGACGCGTACACATAAACTCCCCGATGTTTAACTTTGAAATTCCCATCTCCTATGTAAGCCCCTCCCGTTTCCTCACCCTCACAGACCTTAGGATCTTGACCCTGCTCCCTCCACTTCTCCTGCTCTCATAGTCTGTCAGTTCTCTCTTGCTTTCACTTTGGTGTCTGCCAAGTGTGGGTCCAAGGGCAAGCATTTGGACTGCTCACAGATACCGCCCTGCATGCCCTGGACCTCCCACCACACTCTCCCTAAAGACCCCTGCCTAGTGCATGGGCCTCACCCTCCTGGGTAGATTCCATTCTCTTGCTCAGATCCCAGTGTTATGGCTGAACCCCACCACTGGTTTTCTCTAAGTGGGCATTGGGCAGCAGAGCTTTGCTGTGAGAAGGATACTGAATTATTCCCCTCAATTTCCCGTTATCCAGCCTCTCCTGGCTGCTCAGCAGTTCTTTAACTCACCGTTCCTTTGAACTTGCCTGGGGTTAAGAACATGCTCAGGCTGTCCTCATCATGCAGATTTTGGTCCTATCCATCCCGTGTACCGACTCCATCTCCAGGGGAGGAGCTGGGGAATGTGCATTGTGATACTCCTCGCCAGGGATTCTTCAATTCTTCATATGAGGCAAGCTTGGCAAATGCTGCTGTTACTCACCCAGGACGTCCTATTCTAGGTCCTCTGTGGCCGCCTCCCCTCTCAGCCCTGCCTCCACCCCCGAAGCCTCCTGTCAGTTTTGATGTTGCCTCCTTTCCCACTTAGAAGATTAAGGCATCTGCTCTGTGCTTCCTGGAATGTCCCACCTGTCCACCTTCAAACACTCCCTCCCCACACACCAGCTCTCCCCTGGCTTCCTGGCTGACTTTTCTCCCTAGATCTGGACACACCCCCCTCTGCCACCCCATCTCCCTGGCACACTGCCTTTCTCTATTTCTTCGTGTGCAGTCAGTGTTTCCCTCACCAAAGGATTTAAAAAAAATATTTCAGTTGTTTGTCTTCTCTCAAAAAAACAAAACATCTTATAGTTAAAGTAGCTTCTTCCTCAGGCTGCCACCCTCTTCCTGCCCCCTCATCACTTCCCCACTGACAGGCCTCATCTTCCCGCCTGGCAGCTTTCCCCTTTGCCCTCGCTGACCCAGCAGCCTGAGCAGTGATGTTAGCCTCTGTGATGCCCCAGGGGCCCACTGTGGCATTGCCTAGTGGAGGTCATGCTCAGAAAGCTGAGGACGCCTGGCTGGCCCTCGGTGGAGCAGCCGCACAGGTTTTGTTTTCCCTGACTCTGCCACTTGACTTGGCGTCTCTCTGCAAACAGGTCTGTCTTTGTGGAAATAAGTGCAGGAGCCCAGGGAGGATGAGAAGAGCGGCTGCCATGCGTGGCTCTGGAGGACAGAGTGGCTGGTGCTGTGCACAGATTGTGGTTAGGCCCCCAGAAAAGACCTTCAGGAACTGGGAGGATCTGGGCAAATTCCACCTCTGGACCAGGACCAGGCCCTCTTCCACCTCCCCCCCGGCCTAATTATTTTTATTCTCATTCACACCCACCAGCCTGACTGCATATATATATATACTGCATATATATTGTACTTTGAAAAAATAAATTATTGAGGGGAAATTCACATAACATAAATTTAATCATTTAAAAGTAATCATTTAGTGGCATTTAGTACATTCACGGTGTTGTATAAGCACCCCATTCCAGTTCTAAGTTTTCATCACAAGAGAAAATGTTTTGTAACGATGTGTGGTGAAAAAAATTGCTTTCATGTGAAAATTAATTATTTCTTTGCAAAAGTGAATTTTATAGTATATGGTAAAGGTAGAAGAACATATTTTTCCAAATGTGTGTTATCTTAATCCTTTAGGTTTTAATCCTATACCCCTGGAATGTGTTCTCTTTGCATGCTGCCTCCACCCCTGCCTTCACACACCACCAGCAATGGGAGGACAGCCAGGAGCCCTGGGTGTAGCAACCAGAGGGTTCCATTCAGCAAGGAAGGTCCATCCCTCCTCCAGCAGAGCCTGAGCCTCAGGGAGCATGGCACCATCACAGTGACTGGAATCAAGAGAGGACCTGCATTGGTAGGGTGCACTGGCAATGCAGAATGATGGTGAGAAAACCCTCAGAGGCTTTTCCACAGCCCCCAGAAGATTGCCTGACATGGGCATGGAGGAGGGAGAGCTGTTGTGTGGGCCACCAATGCTGCTCAAACCAAGGGTCTGGGATAGACTGTTGTTTTCCGAGAGCACTGAACCATCCTGTATCTGATGTGAGTGAGAGTCAGCCTGTGAGTACTACCCTGATGGTTCAATCTCGCCCAACCCAGAGGAAATACCTAGGAGGCGAGCTAGAGCGCTCAGCTCAGGTGGTTTCCCTTCTGACAAGGCGCCTGACAAGGGTGCCCTAGGACAGCCTCATAGGCACAAGTCTCAGAACTCTTCAGAGCATCTGAGGTGGAGAATTGGAGAGGGTTCTGAAGTAGGAAATGGGGACTGCCATCCACCTAAGTTTCAGGCAGGCCCAGGAGCCCCACCTCGGTGGCACCATCAGCCTGGCAGAGGAGGATAAGAAAAGTTTGGAGAGGGCACTCTAAAGCACAGGACCAGGTGATGCCTGGGGCCAGCCCAAGGACCCCGCCTGCCTGGATCTGAGGGGCACCAGTGAATGACCCAGGGGTCAGTTCAGGTTCTCCAAGAAGCAGGTGCCAAGACAGGATTAGATGTGCAAGACATTTGCTTGGGGAACATGCCTCTGGGGGAGTGGGGATGTGGCAAGCTACATAATGTCACAAAGATGTCAATGTCCTAGTCCCCAGAACTTGTTACCGCACGTGATCCTCCCATGCCACTGCCCTAGTGCTGGAGCTTAGAGGGAGCAGGGCCATGTAAGTCCATGTGCTGCCCTCAAAAAGAAACTCTCTGGGTCTCCAGTAGCCTCCGTGCCACTCAACCACCTCCCTGGTGGTTTTTACAGCCCAAAGTTACAGGGGCTTCTTTTCCGAGCTCTGAACTAGGGGTGTGGTATAGAGCTGGGACTCCTTGTTCCTCACGGGAGGCCTCTGCAGCCCAAATATCCCTCCTGACTAAACAAACATGGGTGTAGGACCAGCCCATTCTATGCCTCAGCTCTCCTGCCAGTCCCAATGTACTTTCTTCTTTACTTCTCTAGTTGTAGAACTTCAATTCAGCAATATTTCAGGCAATTATGAGTGATGGTTGTTCTGTATTTTATTTGTAATTTTGATATGGTTGTGGGTGGTACCGACATTTACTTATGCCATCATCTTGGTTCTCTATTACTCTTTCTTTTTATTTTTAATTTATTTTATTTTTATTGATTTCAGAGACAAAGGGAGAGGGAGAGAGAAATAGAAACATCAATGATGAGAGAATTATTGATTGGCTGCCTTCTGCATGCCCCTCACTGGGGATTGAGCCCACAACCCAGGCATATGCCCTGATTGGGAATTGAACTGTGATCAACCACTGAGCCATTCAGGCAGGGCTTTAATTCTCTTTCTTGATTGAAATTGAAAAGATGTGCAAACACTACCAGTTTAATGAGTGAATGCCATGAATGATGACCAGTATAGCACCCGTGATCAGGACTAGTATTTGTTTAATTTGTTGTAGATTACAGTCATTCCCTCAGAGCTATTCAGTGTCTGCAGGGCAGGACTGATGAACTAAATAGAAATATGATTGGTATCACCACTTTATATACTTGAAGTCTTTAATGATGGTATCAAAGTTCTGTCAGCCACCTCAGAATACAATATTATTTTTGATTTACCACCTTGAGTGATAGGGGTATTTTCAGAGTTTTATATTTGGTATTAATCACTATGATAGGTCTTATCCTAGAACTAGGGACCCAATGTTGAAGCTAATCCAATTAATGGGAATGTCAATTACAGTTTTATAATTAGGGATCAAGGAAATGACCACAGGGATGTCAGTGGACTCAGCAGGCCCACAGTGAGCTATATATTAATCTGGACTCCATTTATTGCCTGGCTCTGTAGACTTACACACAAACAAGAATCTCCAAGTGTCAATGTCAACACAGACCCTATGTGTCCAATATACCTTGAATTGTCTAGGTCTTTCCCTTTCACCAGTGATTACTCACTAGTGAAAGACCTTTGAGGAGGATTTATTACCATGGATCGAATTGTGTCTCCTCAAAGAAGATATTTCGAAGTCCTGTGAATGTGAATAGGATTTTTGCAGGTTACACCAGGCTGAGAGAGCTGGGTGGGCCTTAATCCAGTATGACTGGAGTCCTTATAACAAGGGGAAAATTGGACATAGAGACAGACATTCACAGAGGGAAGATGGTATGAAAACATGGAAAAGTTATGTGAAGATGGAGGATTGGAGTGATACATCAAGGAATAGCAAAGATTGTTGGAAAACCACCAGAAACTAGCAAAAACAAGGAAGAATTCTCCTCCAGGTTTTAGAGGGAGCATGGCCCTGCCAACATTTTGACTTCAGACTTCTGGCCTTCAGAGAATAATTTTTGTTATTCTCAACCACCTAATTGTGGTGCTTTGTTATGGCAAACCTAGGAAACTATTACAACCATTGTCACAGTACAGCTTGCCATGGTGTTGTAGAATTCTAGCTTTTTAGTCAATGGATTTCAACTATGCAGATTGGCTCAGATCTAAAAACTACGTAAGGGATTATGATATTTCACTGAGACAGCCTCTGCAGCCTTCTGCTACTCTATTTTTGCTTTTGTTGTTCCAGATATTAAGTAGCACCCTCCTTGGAAGCCTGCTTCTTGCCTTTGAGGACATGAGGATCTGTTAACCATGTCCACAATTCCCTGATGGTCATATCTCTTTGGCTGCTTCTGTGACTTCACCAGTAGGTAGGATCGTTGCAGCCTCGTGGCTTCTAGTGGTCAAGCACAGCTTCCTGGCTGCTAGTGTTTCAGGGCCCTCATTCTACCATGGATATCTACCTGAAGCTCTGGGGCCACCCTTCCTATGGTCAGCCTTGGGTTGCAGAGCAGAGCCACCACTGAGCATCATGATGATGCTGGTGCCCCCTCCCAGTGTATTCCTAATGCCTTGGTAAAGGTGTGTCCTCTGGCCTCCTGTGGGGAATCATCCACTGGTCAGTTTTCTGCCTCATCCAGTGTGCCCATTCCAGCACACCCTCAGCCCCTTCATCCCTTCCTTGTCCACTTGCCAGGGCAGCTTGGAAACTTCTACTTCACCCAGCATTGCCCACTAGTTTATTCAGCAGAGCATTTGTCCATCCCCTGGAGTTCGTGCCAAGATATTAAATTCTGACTCTGGGGAATTGCCATTGAGTCAGTGAATTTCTGCTTTCACCAGTCTTATATCCTGGCTCTTTGGATCAGGTCCCTTCAAAAACCAGTGCCAGGAACACTCCTCGCTCCTGTCAGTAGATATGACTCAATCTAGAGGCAGCTTTGGTAGGTAATTTCTTTCCTTCCTTATCAGGCACAGCACATCCCCAAACAGGTTATGCAGGACTTGACTGTAGTTATCACTTAGGAGTGGAGCAAAGAGGTGGGGAGTTCCTGAGGGGCACCAACTACCTTGTAAGGAAGAATAGGAAGACCCTCAAATGAGATGCAGGTGTCACCCAGTGGGAGAGAAGAGACCAGTGCAGGTCTAAGAAAGTTTCCAGGCTGGTGGGGATCACAAAGCCAGAGTCCTTCATTAAAGGAGTCCATATCTTCTAGACACAAGGCATCCCTCCCTTCTGAGCGCGAGACACCCAGGTCCTGGTTAGATAATGAGGCTGACACTTATCGCACAGGAAACTGTGAGGATTGAATGAGGCAGTGTCTGAGAATCAACCCCATTGAGGGTGACTAAATGTACTACTTTCCTTTTCACATCCAAGGCAGATGTCACAAATTCGTGATAGCATTTTTCACAGGAAGGCTTGATTCAGTCCCTGAAACATTTCAATATAAAGTAGTAGGTTGTTTCTGAAATAAAATATTATTTCCAAATAGGATCTAGGCACCAGCCTAACTCTCTGTTCCCCAAAAACTTATTTGTTGGGAGTCCCAAGACATTTTAAGGGCTTATTAAACTGGTCTCTATGAGTATACTCTGTAACTTCCAGGTATTCTGTTAAGATACTGTTATCTAAACAGTGCACAGCAAACCTTTGATTCATGGGGAGGGACATTCATTTCCTTGAGTTCTTTGCCAATTTTTGATGTAGGGAAGTTGTGGGTGGGGGCTCTGGTAACCATGGTGTTGAGAGGAGGGAGGACAGTTGAGTGTGTGTGTGTGTGTGTGTGTGTGTGTGTGTGTGTGTGTGTGTGTGTGTGCGTGCATGCAGAAATAGAGTGGATGGGGTTGTAAAAGGTCTATTTTTCTATAGGGTGAGGAAGAGGTATGTGCTTTTCTGAGGGTAACCACAGGGACACAGGCCTGTTTTAACTGAGCAAAGGTTTAGAAATATTGTGTTACTAGAGGCCCAGCTCATAACATTAGTGCATGGGGAGGGGTGTCCTTCAGCCCAGACTGGGACCTCTTATAATCTGGGATCCCTTGGGTAGGGTCCCTAGGCCTGGCCAGCAATCAGGGCATATAGTGGCTTTCCTTCCCCTGGCTACCAGCAGCTGGCCTTAACCCTGCTGCAGCCACTGCTTGCCATCTGTGTGGTGCTGCTTCTCCCCGCCTCCTTCCCCACCACCAGTTGCCTCCTTCTGCAGGTGACAGATGTGAGTTCGATTACTTGGCTGGCCTGGGGCTCCCTCTGTGGGGTGATTGTAAGGTGATGGTGGGGCTACCTCACCAATCACATTGCACCCACTTTGGCTGGCCTGGTGCAAATGCGTGTCATAGAGTGGTTATAATCCAGATGATTCTTCTGTTGTAGTCATTTGGTCAATTTGCATACTATACTTTTATTATTATAGAAAACTAGGAGCCCAGTGGACAAATTCATGTACTTCGAAAAAAACTATGGGCTGCAAGGCTGCAGTGGGCACAGGGGCAGGTCTTGGCCCATCCTCCAAGCCCCAACCCAGTCTCTCCCACCGTGGCCCCCAGTCCCCTGTCTGCCAGCAGCCCCACTTTTACTGCTGCAGCTCCCACACTGATGGCACCAGCCCCACTCACACTCATTGATGCATGGAATGATTGGAGCCAGCACCAGCAATGGGTACTAGCAGCACCAGTGCCTTCAGTGGCTGCAAGTAGTAGCTGCTGCCCTGATCACCCCTTAGGAGCAGCGGGAGGTGAATAAGCCCTCAGGGGCAATCAGGACTGGCAGCGATTGGGACTGGTGCTTGGCACTGGAAGTGGGTGTGAGCAGTGGCTCCAGTGCTGACTGTGGGTGTAAGTGGGGCTGGGGACTGATACCAGCAGCAGATGCTAGTGGGGATGTCACTGGAAGCAGGTGCAAGAGGCAGCTGCTGGCCCCAATCACCCCTCAGGAGCAGGGTGAGGTGGAGAAGCCCTCAGGAGTGATTGGAGCCAGCAGCTGCTGCTTGCTGCTTATGACAGCACAGATCAATTGGGGTCAGCACCTCCAGTGGGTACAAGTGAGGCTGGCACTGGTAACAATGCAAGCTCTGGATGGGACCATGGTGCACAAGAGCAAAGAATTTTCAGTAACCACCAGAGGCTTTTCCCGATGACAGTGACCAGTGTCCCGCCTTGGTCTGGTGCCCATACTCACCTGTTCCACCATCCTGATGTGGCTGACACCCATCATGTTCCCTACTCTGCTAACTTATGCTGATGCTTGCCATGTT